TGAGTACATACCATGTTTGTCTTTTTGTGATTGGGTTACCTCGCTCAGAATGGTTTTTTCTAGTTTCATCCATTTTCCTGAAAATTTCAAGATTCCATTTTATTTTCCCGCTGAGTAGTACTCCATTGTGTAAATGTACCACATTTTCTCTCTCCATTTTTTGGTAGAGGGGCATCTATGCTGCCTCCCGTTTCTGGCTATTATAAATAATGCTGCTATGAACATTATTGAACAGATGTCCTTGTAGGAATGTGCTTCTTTTGGGTATATGCCTAAGAGTGGAATTGCTGGATCTTGTGGTAGACTGATTCCCATTTTCTTGAGGAGTCACCATACTGATTTCCAAAGTGGCTGTACAAGTTGGCACTCCCACCAGCAGTGGACAAGTGTTCCCCTCCATAGTGACTCTTATAAAGGAAAACCTTTAATTGGGGCTGGCTTTCTGAGTTTCAGTCCATTATTGTCATGGTGGAACATGGTGGCATGCAGGTGGACATGGTACTGGAGAAGGAGCTGAGAATTCTACATCTTTGGTCTCAGGCAATAGGAAGTGAACTGAGTGACACACTGAGCTAGAGCAAGAAGAACTCAAAGCCATTCCCACAGTGACACACTAACAAAGCCATTCCTCCTAATAGTGCCATTCCCTGTGAGCTTATGGGGACCAATTACATTCAAACTACTACAGCAGCTAAGGGTATCTATAGGGTAACTGTTTTCTAAGCTATTGAAAATCAATCTGTACTCATTGTTTTCTTAAAATATATTATTATACCACTATCTGTTTATGAAATCACAGGGACCCTAAAAGCAAATCACTGTATAGTGTCAGCTACTAATGGATGTTTTGAAGAAAATGGTGTCAGGGAAGGCAAGAGATGGATGGCTACTTTAGGAAGCACCCTACACTGCCTTCCTAGCCAGCCTTCAGTGTGCCATGCCACTCTCATATCTAGGACTTCCGGCTGGAGAGCTTTTCTTCAGCTATCTCCCTTGACAGGTTCTGACCAGGGTCCTGACCACCTCTTGAGAGGGGCCTTCCTCCAGCCTCCCTTCTCGCTCCTCTGAAAGTATTCCTTACCACATGACTGGGGATAAAGGAGAGTCAGTACAATTCCATTAATAAATCTTTTGCCATCTGACATATTTTGTAACACTTGCTATGTGCAGTTCAAACTGAAGAGATTTTTAAGAAACCTCTTCCCATCTGATGTCAATTTCCAAATCAGGGACCAAATAATTTTGTGTAATGAGGAGTGCTTCTAATTTTCTTCCTAACACATAAAGCTTCCTGATTTGCCCATCTCTGTTTATTTCACTAAAATGTTAGTTCCATGAGACTAGACTTTGTTTTATTCATTGCTTTATGTCAATGACATAGCACAATGCTGAATACCAAAGAGATTCTGATAACCACGTGTTGAAGAGATGCACTGCCATATGCTATATGAATAAACATGTTTAACCTAAGTCATTTATGCTTTTAAAATGGTGTAGAAAGCCATGCTGCACTTTTTGTGAGACAGAATGTAGAATTATTTACATGGTTTCTACACAGCTTAGAAAGTCTCGCAACTTTGCATTTCTTCATTATTTGAAGAACAGCAAGCAGATCCTGTGCAGTCCATTTCTTGCTAAGGTGTTTAATTCAGTTTACAGTTTCACAAAGTGGATCATGAGACAGAAGTAGGATGACTGTCCTTGTTCACTTCAGTTTCTAAAAGTCAGTAGGCTCTTTCTTTATGTAGAACTGGAAATATTATATCTATTTCATGGCTACCTATTAATATCTAGTGTGGCAAATTTCATAATCATTTAAGTATCTTTATTACATAGTATCACTGGGTAAGGACGAAAGTGATTTGGTGACATACACAGTAGGCACACTGTCTGGTCTATTGGACTTGGGCAGTTTTCTCCAAGGAAGTGTGTGTGTGTGTGTGTGTGTGTGTGTGTGTGTGTTGCTAGGGACATACTAGTTGGCAATGATGAGACAGATAGTGGCCCAGAGCCTTTAATAAGAACAGATGGTTATGGTCTTATTTCTTGACAGTAGAAAAAAAGAGGTGGATGTGTTTGTGAGTTTTAACAGACAGAGTAAGTAACTGGCAGGGGGCAATAAGGGAAAGAGAAACATTAGTTATGAGGTCAGCTTTCTAGGCTAGCTAACTGAGAGGACCCCAGGCCTTTCACAGAGACTAAAGAAGCTGAGGGAAGAACTAGCTGAGGAGAAACAATGAAAGGATGCTTCTCTATCTAAAGTGAAGCTGAGTATTATGCACTTGTGTATCTGGTGAATACTTTAAAACCCAGTGCCTATAAAGAAAGAATCAACTGGCACTGGGAAATTAGTCATATTAAAATTAAATCATTTTCTGTTGTTAAGTTTTTGTTTTCATTATTAGTGTGTTTATTTTAATGAAGGAAAAATAACAAAAATTATTTGCACAAGAAATGCTATACTAAAACAAACAATTATGAAGCAAAACCTCTAGGGGACAAAAAACTAAGACCTGCCAGGCAGTGGTGGTACATGCCTTTGATCCCAGCACTCAGGAGGCAGAGGCAGGTGGATCTCTGTGAGTTTGAGACCAGCCTGGTCTACAAGAGCTAGCCTCCAGGATAGCCTCCAAAGCCACAGAGAAACCCTGTCTCGGAAAAATAAATAAATAAATAAATAAATAAATAAATAAATAAATAAAAGACCTTCACAAATAAAATGTAAGCTGAAAATAAGTGATTTATCCTGGCTAGAAAACCACAGTGAAAGAGGCCATTAGTGAGTGTGTGTGTGTGTGTGTGTGTGTGTGTGTGTGTGTGTAGGGGCCTATCACCTGGAAACTTGAGCTTGTCATTCAAAGCAGGTCTAATAGGTAGTATCTACCATCTACATATTCATGTGTCCTTAGCCCACAGCATAACATTGGTCCCTAAAGGGGGCTTGGGATAGCTATTGTTTTAGGTATGCTATTTATGTATTAAATTTGTTTGCATTAATATTCACAGAAATTGTTATACAGTGACGATATTTATATCATCTTGTTGTTTAGGTTGATTGGGGTCAACTGGACTATTTAGTTGTTGACATGCCACCAGGAACAGGAGACGTGCAGTTATCAGTTTCACAGAATATCCCTATTTCAGGTAAATCCTTAAAGTTTGATTTCTTTCTCTGATGTATTGCAGTTACTATACATAAAAATAAACTATATCATAGATGAACTTTCTGTCTTAAAATTATTTATAAATTGGTCATTAGTGATCAGAATTATGTATTGGACTTTTGATGATAAATATGTGTATTTATAAAAAACAAAAGGTACTTTTAAAGGTAGTAATAAATCTGTATTGTAGAAAAATTTTAGATGTAAGTATATTTAGGTAGCTCATGGCTATTCGAACATGCTGACTGTTGTCCAAATCTTAACAGTAAAGTGCTAACAAACATCCAGAAAATACTAGCTAATGAAACTGAGTAACAGTAAGTAGTAGGAAAATTGGCTTTTAGGCAAATATAGTTTTGGGAAATTGTATATTCTGCTATTTCTTTTGTTTTAAAGTTAAGGGAATAAATATAATAGCTTATTTGGTCAAGTGTACAAGATATAGCAATGAGTATCTTTCCCTGATACAGAATGTAAAAATTGGTAGTTATCCTTTATTTTGAATCTATTTCTAAAACTTCCTCTGGAACAGTTGCAAATGTGTGCACATACTGGGTTTCTAAGAAGGAAGATAATGGAAATTTAAAGTATCTTTGCAAATAAATTTTTATGGGTTATTTCAGCTTTGCCATTGACATTTAATTATCAAAAGGCTTAAATCTAGATTTTTTTGCAAACTTTAAATGGTTTTTTTTATTAGTAGGAGAGCCTCATTAATAGGGTATTAAACATTTTAATGAGTTTGTTTTCTTAATTGAGTATTCTGATAAGGCAGGTTATAAAGGAGGAAACTGGCAAAAGGGGAAATAAAAAGTTTATCCTTTAGATGATCGCTCTACCATATAGTGTGCCTTTCATTTTTTAATGTAGAGGAGTTAACTGACTGCTTCAAGGTCCCACATTTACAATGTGTTGTCGCTGAAGTTCTCATCAGTTCTGATTGAGTTTGAAGCTTGTGGTTGGAACCTCTGCATCAAGGTCTCTGGCAATGTCTGAGTCATGGTTTGCTGAGTTTAGCCTCAGCCCCTCCAACTCATTTAAGCTGAGGTTAAGCTAATGTTGGTGATTTTGTGATACATCACATTTACCGTGAAGGTGTCAACCGTGTGTACCCATGTGTTATGTATGCCAGTATTGACATGAAGAGTAAAAAGCCTGTTTTCTCTAGTGAGCATATGTTGATCTTATAATTCAAGAGAGAGATGCAGCTGGTAGAATTTGTACTTTGCGTATATGAGTTTTGGGTTTGGTCTTCAAAGCAGGGACTAGGAGTATCAAACAATAAAATACCCTGACACTCAAGGGACTTTGGGGGTCTGTCTGATCATTTCTTTATGTGTTTGTTAAGATGTTTATTCAAGGCTTAGTTCTTGATATGTAGTTTTATTTAGACCAATGTTATTTCATAGCAAGCATATATAAGAAGACACTAGAAGTGAGCTAGCCCCAGGAATTAGTTTCTGGCTTGGCTGCACCATGGCTGTCATCAGTTTATATTATCTGGAACGGCCTGTCAGAGTCATATTTGCCCTACAGTTTTGTCAGTTGTCCTTCAGAATTATCTCTTCTGTAATTACAAACCTAGTTTCCCTTTCCTTTTTATCATTGACATTAAAACTCTTTTAAGATAGTCTGTTCTACTTTTTCTTCTGTTCTATATTTCTCTAAGTCACAAAAACCCTTTAGACCCGTGGTCATGTCTGTGATTAGACTTTCTGTAAATCCCTTCACATAAGGTAAAATCCCACCCCAAAACCGTGTGTGCCAACTGCCCACATCCTTACCGCCCCTCACTTTCTTCCCTTTGCTTCTCTGAATCTGTGTCTCTACACACATTCATTCAGAATGTCTTTCCATTGTAGACAGGTGCATGCCCAAGTCCTGCATAACCTTTAAAAGCCACGTGCTCTGATGCTCAATCCCTGTCCTCTCCCCAACTCCTCCCTGGATAGGAATCATCTTGTTTGGACCACTCCTCAGCACTCAGATTCTCTTCATTTGAAGCCTGCACACCTGTGCCGTGCAGGTCTCCTCCCTAGATTCTGTCTCATTCAGCTTTGTGTTTCCCACAGAACCAAACTCACTGCCTTCCTGCAAATGGGGTATCAATGAATGGATGTTTTGTCACTGTGTGTATTGCCTTTTCAGTTAGACTATAAACTACTTGAATGTCATTTTTTCCCTGTTCATCCTGTGTCTCTTCTATTACTTGGGCAACGGGAAATGTTGACAGTGCTAGGCTGACCAGTTATTGCTGTTCCCACAACAAGCTCACTGTCCCTTTATCTTTTCTACCATTTCACTCATTCTTGTAATTCCCTGTCCCCCCCCCCCATGCCCCACTGATTTCACTTAAGTGCTTCTTCTATGTACAAGTTAAACAAAACATTTTTTTAAAGTCAGGAAGAAAAATCATTCCATTGTTAAGGTTTTTGTTTTGATGTAGATGACATCTGTGGGCAGTTGATACTGTTCACTCCCCCCTTTCTTGTTGTGCTGGGATTAGGAGGGGCTTGTCATTTGGTTACTTGTAGGCTCTCTATTAAGTGGCTGTGGGAATCACTAACATTGTTCCATTCTAAGGAAAGAAGTGCCCTTCTGCCATGATGCTCCCCATTTCTGCTTGCACCCTTACCTAAGGAACCTTGCTTGTCCCACAATTTATAAGGATCTAGTGAGATAATATGAAAGCTCTTCTCTAAATCCATAGTTCCTTTTTAGAAACTGCTTAAATGCTTTAAAGGGGATATTTGCTGAGGGGGATGCTGTTTGATCAAATGTTCCCCACAAAGACACATGTGCTAAAGGCTTGGTCCCAGCCAGTGCCTTTGTTGAGAACTGGCTGGGTCATGAGGGTGTTAGTGTCTGTGACTTAGATAGCCCACCTTACCCTTCATCCCTCTCTGCTTCCTGGCCACTCTGACGAAAGCAGTTTTGTTCCCCTCTCCCCACCATGTTGCTGTGTCTCACAGTGGTGCAGAACTAGCCAGATCAAGTGACCAGGGGCATAAATAAATTCTTTTAGTTGTTTTTCTCAACAACTTTGCTATAATGGCAAAAAGCTGACTGATGTAGGGCATTACTGAAATGTTGTGAATGGGAATCTATGTCAAGTTCACATGGCTCCAATCTATTTGGCAACAAAATAGATGTTTTGTGTTTAGAGAGACATTATTTTGGAAATTCATAGCAGACCTGTACAAGCAAAAAGATCTTTTTTCTAACTGCTAATTAGCAACTCTTTGTATGTGCTCCATTTTGTTTTGTGGGTAGATGATGAGCTCAGTGTAAGAAGAAATTTCAAAGAAAAACATTACTCTCTTATTTGTGTTAAAGTGTTGTATAGCAACAGCAGTGAATGTGTTGACAGCACATCAGTGACGAATCATGTAAATCTGAGTTTACATGGAGTCCTAAATCATTACCTACTCTAAGTGCAGACCAGAAGTTCCTAGATGTAGAGTGCAGGAAGGAGAAGAGGTGGGATAAAGGATGGGGGATGAGATCATGGCTTTAGAGATGCTCTTGTCTTACTGAACTTGCCAAGAGATGGCATTAATACAATCAATCTCCATTATATTTCTTACCTTGTTATTGATAATTCCGCTTACTGGGCTTTGTTGCTAGTTCATTTTGTAAAGTGTTTGTTACTATGTCTTGGGTTGGGTTGACTCCAGAGTTGAATTCTGTTTTGTTTCCCAGATGTGTGCTGATGCTCATTAGAAGTTACTGATCATGTAATTATTTTCCATCATGGAAGAGAACTAATACTTCTCTGAGAGGCATTATACTTTCCTTAAAGATTTTGAAAACATCCACTATTTTAGTTTCAAATTTTCATAGATTTTTCTTTTATTCTTGGCATCAACTGAAGTCCTGTAAGTGACCATCTGAAGACTGTCCTAGCTTTAGTTTAATTCTTAGAATTAAGCAAAGAGTTTATGCTTCATATTAAGTATATGAAACATGTTTTCTTTTTCCAAGGACTGGAGTCTTAGTAACTTAAAGTGCTATATTAGCAGATGATACATCTTAATTTAATGAAGAGTCTAGGTACAGAGATGTGAGCAGCAGCATTAGTGACACTAAAAGATGATGGAGCTCCCAGGGACTAATGACAGGAGTTCTCCCTGCTCTTCCACCCAAGAAGGCAAGAGAGTGAAGAGTGTTAGTATCCTGTTGTCTCAGAACCCTTAAAGGAGGTGCTTCATGGAACTCCCAGAACCACTGCAGAGTAGGAAGGAAGTCTGAGATACTACCACAACATCTCTGCTTCCATAGTCTCATCCCCTACTGGTCCCTGCCTCTGGCACACACCCTTTGAGAGCCAGGAAGCTCAGGGGAGATCATCCACAGAGGTCAGCTCCCCAGCCACTGATCACATTAGTGGATAGAGAAGGGCTCTGGCCAGACTGATGGTGAAGGCAAGTGGAATACTGACACAGCTCTTGTTCTTTGTGCTCATGATTTCACTGCATGTTAGTGGCCAGGCACAGATGGAATGCTGTGAAATGCATGGAATTTATGGCCTTGAAAAGCTTACAAGCTAACAGAGACACCAGTAGTACAGTAAAATTAGTAAAAAGCCTATACTCACAAAACAAAATTGTACTGTCATCTATCTTATGTCTAGAACATTTATATTGTAGATAAAACTGAATCAAGTTTATTTTGTATGGTGCAGAATAACAGTTGTAAACATTTATTTTTACTGGATAGAGTTAGGGGGTAATCACTTAGTGTGATAGTGAATGTATTGTCAGGTTGACATTCACTTTCACCTTATTAAGTAAAGATTAATAGAGAAATAAAATATTGGGGAACTATTCAAATAGTAAAAGGGACAAAGACCATGTGGCTAAGGGAGAGCCATTGCTCATTCTTTGTTCACAGAAGAGAGCCATGCAGACCCTAGTGGGAGTCCTGTTTTGGTTTCTTATCTCCTGGGCCAGGAGAAGCTGCTGTGTGTGGTAGGGTAGT